CACCTCCCCACACCCACCGGCTCCCAGAGTCCCGAAATCGCCCGGGACCCGGAAAGCAGACCATCCCACAACATCCCACCTCCCACCCCCTCAACGTGAACGCTGTTTCCCTAATAAATATCCTTGAAAAGGTTAAAGGTCACGCCCTCCCCAACCACCCCCTGGACCCTGAAAACCGCCTGGTCTGGGTCGGGGGGGGGGGGGGGGGGGGGGGGGGGACCTCCCCCACCGAGTCCTCCTTTTCCTCCAGTGCAGGCCTCCCGCCCAGGCGCCTGTCACACTCCCTGGCGCTGAAATCACTTATTCCTGCTGTTTGACGGAGACGCTCGAAGTGTGTGTGCATTACCTCCTCATGGTGATTTTTAACAGTAATCCGATTCAGCCTGGTTTCAGAGGGCTTTCCATCTTTTTTTTTTTAATGTATTTTTATTGATTTCAGAGAGAAAGGCAGAGGGATAGAGAGAGAGAAACATCAATGATGAGAGAGAGTCATTGCTCGGCTGCCTCCCGCATGCCCCACACTGGGGATCAGCCCACAGCCTGGGCACGTGCCCTTGACCGGCATCGAACCCGGACTCTTCATGAGGTCCACAGGCCAAACCAGCCAGGGCTCAATCTTTTATTTTTTTTTAATATATTTTTATTGATTTCAGAAAGGAAGGGAGAGAGAGAGAAACAGCAAGGATGAGAGAAAATCGCTGATTGGCTGCCTCCTGCCCCCCCTCCCCCACCGAAACACACACACACACACACACACACACACACACGACATGGAGCCTGCAACCCGGGTGTGTGCCCTGGAATTGAACCATGATCTCCTGGTTCAAAGGTCCACACTCAACCACTGAGCCACGCCGGCTAGACACAATCTTCATCTAATAAAAGCCAATCTGCAAGAAAGGGAATGTCTTCGAATATTTTTAAAAAGAGAAAAAAGGGCCCTCATTCATTTGAGTACTTAATTTTAGGAAGATTTCTCTCAATTTTGAAACTATTTCTTTGTCTAAAAATATTAAAGTTTCCTGCCTTTATAAGACAGTACGTTTTAACAAATCAAAAGTGAAAATGTAACTCTTATAGTTGGTAATTGAAAAAAAAAAGTTCATGCAAGTTTCATTTCTAGGAAGTCACTTTGAAAACTGCAAACATAACTGAAATATTTTACCCAGTAAAGAGCTAAAGTTGGGGGGAAGGGAAGGACATAAGAGAAGGAAGAAACAAAATTCATTGAAAGGTAATCCTTACATTATTTTTTTCTAAATTCAATTTTTATGTATTGATTTTAGAGAGAGAGGAAGGGAGGAAGGGAGAGGAAGAAGGAGAGAAAGAAAGAAACATCCATTGGTTGTTCCACTTACCTATGCACTCATTGGTTGGTTCTTATAGGTGCCCTAACCAGTATCAAACCCGAAACATTGGCTCTAGGGAGACTGCTCGAACCAACCAAGCTACCTGGTCAGGGCCTCTCCACAATTTTGTAATAAGGAGAGTGAGAATATCAATTCCCAATATGAAATAAATTTAACTATAAAATAATAAATAAATCTAAGTCCCTCATCTCATTAAAAAAAAAACGGATGAGTTTATATTATGAAAATATTAAGGAAAGATTCATCAAATTACATCTAAGGCCAGAGAGGAAAATAATTTCACTTTAAGTCTAGAATTAGTTCACAGATTATACTAAGAAATGGATTTAGCAAGTTCCTATATTTTGAACCTGCATCACAAAATCAACAACTATTCAAATGCTGCCTTAAAACCTGATAGTTTGATACCGGCCAGGTGGCTCAGTTGGTTGGAGCATTATCCAATGCATCAAAAGGTCATGGGTTCCATTTCTGGTCAGGGCACATACCTACATTTCTGGTTCAATCCCTAGCTGGGTTGTCTTCTCTCTCTCTCTCTCTCTCTCTCCCTTCCTCTCTCTGTGAAATAAATAAAAACATCCACATATCCTCAGTTGAAAATTTCAAAAAAAACACACACCTGGTGGCTTGGCCTTTCAAAAACTGTTTTTTATTTGTTTGTTTTCCTTTTTATTGAATTTATTGGGGTGACATTGGTTAATAAAATTATATAGATTTCTGCCCAACTGGTATGGCTTGGTGGTTGAGCGTTGACCCATGAACCAGGAGGTCATGGTTTGATTCCCAGTCAGGGCACATGATGCCCAGTAGAGGGAGTGCAGGAGGCAGCTGATCAATGATTCTCTCTCATCATTGATATTTTGTTTCTCTGTCTCTGTCTCTCCCTCTCCCTTCCTCTCTGAAATCAATAAAAAAGAATATTTTAAAAATTATATAGGGTCCAGGTGTACAATTCTATAATACATCATTTGTGTATTATATTGTGTATTCACCACCCCAAGTCACGTCTCCTTCAAAAACTATTTGGATTTATACACCACCTTATTCCAAAAAAGAATCCAAATT